ACTAAATCAGGTCTAAATCAGGTCTAAATTAGGACTAAATCAGGTCTAAATCAGGTCTAAACTATAACAGGTCTAAACCAGGTCTAAACCAGGTCTAAACCAAGTCTAAATCAGGTCTAAATTAAGACTAAATCAGGTCTAAATCAGGTCTAAATTAGGACTAAATCAGGTCTAAATCAGGTCTCAATTTGGACTATAACAGGTCTAAACCAGGTCTAAACCAGGTCTAAACCAGGTCTAAATCAGGTCTAAATTCGGACTATAACAGGTCTAACTTGGTTAAATCTTCAAATTGATTCTCAAACAGACGGAGAGGAGGAAGCTGCAGCAGTAGATTCGAGTTTGCCTGATGTTTGTGTGCGTTCGTGTCACTCCAGTTTGTGTTGTGTTTTTTAAATTTATTTATTAATTTTATTTGTATTTATTTGTTTATTTATTTTATTTATTTATTTATTTTTTAGTTTATTTTTTATGTATTTATTTATTAGTTTATTTATTTATTTTTATTTAGATTTTTTATAATACTTTTTTTTTTTTTTTTTTATCTATATTTATCTGACTATAAATATTTTTGCGTCTTTCTGTCCACACCAGAAAGTGTAAAGTGAAGCTCCTTTTGTGTTTTTAAAGTGCATATACGTCCACATCCACATGCATATGCTTCTTTTACATTTATTATTTATGTTTTGTGTGTTTTTTTTTTTTTATTCTTGTGTAGATTCTGAAGCGTTCGTGCACAGAGATCCTGAGCGTGGAGCCGTCCAGCGTCTGTGTGAATCGTGAGTCTTGCAGCTCTCACTCTCACACTTTACTTTCACTACAGAAACATTCAAATATAACAAAAAAAATAAATTAATCTAATGCAAAAACAAAAAAAACTTAGATTTAGTGGTGTTATTTAAATGCAGTGAATCAAACGAAACACGGCAGCGCACACTAATATGCTCATATATTGGATTGTTTATGTGTAGACTGAAAGATTTAAGATCTTTAAAGATGAGTTTTGTGTTGTTTTCTGTAAATAGTTCGACCGTCTTGTATCTTGTTTTATATGTTAATAGGGTTTTGGCAAAAGAAGTGTTAAAACTTCAGCCTAAACCTCTTCGATCTGTAGAATAACCTCAGTGATTTACATAACCTGGATAATTTTTTTGTGTTAAATCATTGTAATATGATGTATGATCAGTGTTGGGAAGGTGACTTTTAAAATGTAATCCCCTACAGATTACAGATTACACACCCCAAAATGTAGTTTGTAACGTAATCCATTAAATGACTTAAAGTGAGTAATGTAATCTGATTACTTTGGATTACTTGATTTTGTTGTAGAGAAACAAAGACGAGGAAATCTTCACATAAGAAGTTTTGTCTGATAAAAGAAAATGAAAAATCCAGATTTTACTGAACCAAATTAAAAATATTATTGATAAAAGACGAAGAAGCACGTCCACACAGCAGGATTTAGTCCTGGTTTAGTCCTGGTTTAGTTCTGGTTTAGTTCTGGTTTAGTCCTGGTTTAGTTCTGGTTTAGTCCTGGTTTAGTCTGGTTTAGTCCTCGTTTAGTTCTAGTTTAGTTCTGGTTTAGTTCTGGTTTAGTTCTGGTTTAGTTCTGGTTTAGATCTAGTTTAGATCTGCTTTTAGTCCTGCTGTTGTCCTGTTGTAGTCCTGGTTTAGACCTGGTTTTAATCCTGGTTTTAGTCCTGGTTTAGACCTGGTTTAGATCTAGTTTAGACCTGGTTTAGTTTCCGGGAATGAGTGGAATTACCGGGGGGAAAAAAAAAAAAAAAAAAGGGATACAGCCCAAAATGTGAAAACAGGAAAATCCTGCTGTGTAATCCATTTATTTGAACAAAGTAACTGTAATCCAATTACCACTCACTGAAACAGTAACTGTAACTGAATACAGTTGCTCATCATTTGTACTCTGATTACTCCGGTACCAAGTAATCTGTTACTCCCCAACACTGACTAAGGTGAAGTCCTGACCAAGACCAGCTCATCTGACCTGAGTTTGTTTTTGGTCTTGTACAGAATCCTTCAACCTGGTGCTCAGAGGAAACGGCTTCGCTCTGGGCCGGAGCAGTGAGGGCGTCGTCTGCAGCTTCATCGTCAACGAGCAAACCATCAGTGAGTTTACACAATCAACACTTTACACAATCAACACTTTACACAAACAACACTTTACACAATCAACACTTTACACAATCAACACTTTACACAAACAACACTTTACACAATCAACACTTTACACAAACAACACTTTACACAAACAACACTTTACACAATCAACACTTTACACAATCAACACTTTACACAAACAACACTTTACACAAACAACACTTTACACAATCAACACTTTACACAAACAACACTTTACACAATTTACAACAACTTTACACAATCACACACTTTACACAACAAACACACTTTACACAAACAACACTTTACACAACAACACTTTACACAAAACAACACTTTACACAATCAACACTTTACACAAATTTACAACACTTTACACAACAACACTTTACACAAACAACACTTTACACAAACAACACTTTACACAAACAACACTTTACACAATCAACACTTTACACAAACAACACTTTACACAATCAACACTTTACACAATCAACACTTTACACAATCAACACTTTACACAAACAACACTTTACACAATCAACACTTTACACAAACAACACTTTACACAAACAACACTTTACACAAACAACACTTTACACAATCAACACTTTACACAAACAACACTTTACACAAACAACACTTTACACAAACAACACTTTACACAAACAACACTTTACACAATCACAAACACACTTTACACAAACAAACACTTTACACAATCAACACTTTACACAATCAAACTTTACACTTTACACAAACACTTTACACTTTACACAAAACAACACTTTACACAATCAACACTTTACACAAACACACACACTTTACACAACACACTTTACACAAACAACATTTACACAACAACACTTTACACAATCAACACTTTACACAAACAACACACTTTACACAAACACACACACAACATTTACACACAACACAACACTTTACACACAATCAACACTTTACACAAACAACACTTTACACAAACAACACTTTACACAATCAACACACACAATTTACACAATCAACACTTTACACAAACAACACTTTACACAATCAACAAACAACACTTTACACAATCAACACTTTCACAATCAACACTTTACACAAACAACACTTTACACAATCAACACTTTACACAACAACACAACACTTTACACAAACAACACACAACACTTTACACAAACAACACTTTACACAATCAACACTTTACACAAACAACACTTTACACAAAACACTTTACACACACACTTTACACAAACAACACTTTACACAAACAACACTTTACACAATCACACACACACTTTACACAATCAACACACACAATCTTTACACAATCAACACTTTACACAAACACACACTTTACACAAACAACACTTTACACAAACAACACACTTTTACACAATCAACACTTTACACAAACAACACTTTACACAAACAACACTTTACACAATCAACACTTTACACAATCAACACTTTACACTTTACACAATCACACTTTTACACAAACAAACTTTACACAAACAACACTTTACACAAACAACACTTTACACAATCAACACTTTACACAAACAACACTTTACACAATCAACACTTTACACAAACAACACTTTACACAAACAACACTTTACACAAACAACACTTTACACAATCAACACTTTACACAAACAACACTTTACACAAACAACACTTTACACACAACACTTTACACACAACTTTACACAAACAACACTTTACACAAACAACACTTTACACACAACACTTTACACACAACTTTACACAAACAACACACACAATTTACAACACTTTACACAATCACAACACTTTACACAATCAAAACACTTTTACACAAACAACACTTTACACAAACAACACTTTACACAAATTTACACACAACTTTACACAATCAACACTTTACACAATCAACACACTTTACACAAACAACACTTTACACAAACAACACTTTACACAATCCACACTTTACACAATCAACACTTTACACAATCAACACTTTACACAATCAACACTTTACACAATCAACACTTTACACAAACAACACTTTACACAAACAACACTTTACACAAACAACACTTTACACAAACAACACTTTACACAAACAACACTTTACACAAACAACACTTTACACAATCAACACTTTACACAATCAACACTTTACACAATCAACACTTTACACAAACAACACTTTACACAAACAACACTTTACACAAACAACACTTTACACAAACAACACTTTACACAATCAACACTTTACACAATCAACACTTTACACAATCAACACTTTACACAAACACTTTACACAAACAACACTTTACACAAACAACACTTTACACAAACAACACTTTACACAAACAACACTTTACACAATCAACACTTTACACAATCAACACTTTACACAAACAACACTTTACACAAACAACACTTTACACAAACAACACTTTACACAATCAACACTTTACACAATCAACACTTTACACAATCAACACTTTACACAAACAACACTTTACACAATCAACACTTTACACAATCAACACTTTACACAAACAACACTTTACACAATCAACACTTTACACAATCAACACTTTACACAAACACACTTTACACAAACAACACTTTACACACTTTACACAACACTTTACACACAACACACTTTACACAAACAACACTTTACACAATCAACACTTTACACAAACAACACAATTTACACAATCAACACTTTACACAAACAACACTTTACACAATCAAACACTTTACACAAACAACACTTTACACAATCAACACTTTACACAAACACTTTACACAATTTTACACAAAACAACACTTTACACACAACACTCAACACTTTACACAAACAACACTTTACACAAACAACACTTTACACAACAACACACTTTACACAAACAACACTTTACACAAACAACACTTTTACACAAACAACACTTTACACAAACAACACTTTACACAATCAACACTTTACACACACACTTTACACAATCAACACTTTACACAAACAACACAATTTACACAAACAACACTTTACACATCAACACTTTACACAATCAACACTTTACACAAACAACACTTTACACAAACAACACTTTACACAAACAACACTTTACACAATCAACACTTTACACAACAACACTTTACACAAACAACACTTTACACAATCAACACTTTACACAAACAACACTTTACACAAACAACACTTTACACAAACAACACTTTACACAAACAACACTTTACACAAACAACACTTTACACAAACAACACTTTACACAATCAACACTTTACACAATCAACACTTTACACAATCAACACTTTACACAAAACAACACTTTACACAAAACACTCAAACACTTTACACAATCAACACTTTACCACAATCAACACTTTACACAATCAAACACTTTACACAATCAACAACACTTTACACAAACAACACTTTAACACAAACAACACTTTACACAATTTACAACACTTTACACAAACAACACTTTACACAATTTACACACAACTTTACACAAAAACACTTTACACAAACAACACTTTACACAAACAACACTTTACACAAACAACACTTTACACAAACAACACTTTACACAATCAACACTTTACACAAACAACACTTTACACAAACAACACTTTACACAATCAACACTTTACACAAACAACACTTTACACAATCAACACTTTACACAATCAACACTTTACACAATCAACACTTTACACAATCAACACTTTACACAAACAACACTTTACACAAACAACACTTTACACAATCAACACTTTACACAAACAACAACAACACTTTTACACAAACAACACTTTACACAAATTTACACACAACTTTACACAATTTCAACACTTTACACAAACAACACTTTACACAATCAACACTTTACACAAACAACACTTTACACAATCAACACTTTACACAAACAACACTTTACACAACAAACACTTTACACAATTTACACAATCAACACTTTTACACAATCAACACTTTACACAACAACACTTTACAAACACTTTACACAAACAACACTTTACACAAACAACACTTTACACATTACACAAACACACTTTACACAAACAACACTTTACACAAACAACACTTTACACAATCAACACTTTACACAAACTTCAACACTTTACACAATCAACACTTTTACACAACAACACTTTACACAATCAACACTTTACACAATCACACAACTTTACACAACACTCAACACTTTCACAAACAACACTTTACACAAACAACACACTTTACACAATCACACACACTTTACACAATTTCAAACACTTTACACAAACAACACACATTTACACACAACTTTACACAATCAACACTTTACACAATCAACACTTTACACAACAACACTTTACACAAATCACACTTTCCACAAACAACACTTTCCACAAACAACACTTTACACAATCAACACTTTACACAAACAACACTTTACACAAACAACACTTTACACAATCAACACTTTACACAATCAACACTTTACACAAACAACACTTTACACTGAGAGGAGTTTATGATTCTCATGGCCAAAATCACTGTGAATAACGATGACATCACAATAATTATTAAAGTTGCGACTGTTTAAGACTGTTATAGATATGAATCATGAGTAGGGGTGTAACGGTACAAAAATCACAGTTCAGTGCTTCAGTTTGAGGTCACAGTTCGGTTCATTTTCTGTACAGATGCAAATTGAACAAAATGCCAAATTATGTTTTTATTAAACCAACAATTAGTTTTAATATTATACAAACTGGAAAATAAAATAAATGCAAAGTGCTGCTCAGTAAAACTAATAAGTTAAATAAAATATTCTCGAATAAGCAACAAACGTTTGAAATATTATTAAAAAAAAAAAATAAAAAATCCTTGTAAACAGTAAACAAAACAGTTCCAGCATGAACTTTGACTCAATCTTCAGATTTCTGGCCAG